GCAGAGTAGTATTCCATTGTGTGAATATATCACAGCTTCTCTATCCATTTGATGACTGATGGGCACTTAAGCTGTTTCCAAGTCTTTGCTATTGTGAACAAAGCCACAATAAGCATGGATAGGCATATATCTGCTTGGATGTCAGTTAATGTCTCTTTGGGGTATATTCCCAGTAGTTTAATTGCTGGGTCAAATGGTATTTCTATTTGCACCTTTTTGAGAAAGCACCATACTGCCTTCCATAGTGGCTGCACCATTTTCTATTCCCATTAACAGTGAATAAGGGTTCCATTTTCTCCACAACCTCTCAGCATTTGTTGTTTGCTATTCTGTCAAATTTTGTTATTCTTACTGGGGTGAGAGGATATCTCATAGTTGTTTTGGGAAATTGCATCTTATGAGCCTTACCTTCTGCACAGTATAATACTCCTTACTAAATTCAACTACTTTATATGGAATGGCCATTGTCTACAAAGAATGAGGACTCATCTATTTCTAAATCATCTGGAAAATGGAAAACTCTTCTAAGAAGTCTCAAAGAGATATAAATGCAAAGAGTAAAGCTAACCTTTGTGTATGCTAAAGGCAGCCAGGCTAAAAGTTTGGGTGACTCCAAGGTAAGATTATATTTGTCACTTTGTCACATGCCCTTGTCAAGTAACTCTCTCCAAGGGATCACCTCAGAGCTTCTTCCTCAGATTAAGTGTTCATGATTAATATCTTTCCCATGTTTGTTTTTAAACTGTAACTGAAAGGGAAGAGATAGTCTAGTTCTCATTAAGAAGATTATAACAGTCTTGACAGACCTACTGTCTTCACTTCTGTGGCATATATACAACTAAGAGTCTTGGACAAATAAATAACTAAAGAACAAGAAGACAGCCATTCTAAGCATCAAATGCTGTCAGCTGTCTAACCTGCCTCTTGTAACAATAAGTGAGGTGGTAATCACGGGCAAGGAGTCAGGAGCCTGGAGCCACAAGGCCTGTCCAAGAGTCATGGATTTTTATTACACCGGAGAAGCCTAGTAGAAGACACTTCACAAGACATCCTTTATTGCAAGTGTTCAGCCAGGGTAGGCAGAGAGAGTTCTTCCATGCTCATGGGGCATTCCCAACACCTCCCCAGACTATACTGAGGCCCAACCCATTCAGTCAAGAAATGGCTTTTATGAATATACCAAAAATCAACAGCCTTCTAATCAAACTTGCTTTTTAAACAACTACTCTTCAGTCTCAGTTTGGGTAGAACCTCTCTTTGCTGGCACTTCTCATCCTTTCCAAGAAAAGGTTATCTATGATATTCAATATAACAAAGTAAACATAAAGAAACACTTGATATTCTTTTTCATAATCATTCTGAATTTTTTTTGGCAGTACATGGGATATTCATACTCTTCTCCAACACCACACCTCAAAGGCATCAATTCTTCTTCTGTCATCCTTATTCATTGCCCAGCTCTCAAATGCACAATAAGTGATAGGAAAGACCATAGCCTGAATCAAATGCATATCAGTCCTCACAATGACATCATTACTCGATAATTTGGAGAGGTTCCTAACTTCAGACGTTCCCAGTGCAATGCATCTCCAGATTCCTGAGTGCTGGCACCAAAGGGGTTAATTGTGGATCCAAGTAAGATAAAGTCATTGACAATTTTAATCTTTTCCCCATCTATCATGATGTTACCTATCGGTTCAGTGGTAAAAATCTTGGTTGAGATGAAAATCTTGATGTTGCAATGCAATCCATAATGAGGCTGTATTATCTTCTGCAACAAGAGTTTCAAGTCCTCATTTGCAGCAAGCAAGGTTTTATCACCTGTATAATGCAGGTTATTGATGAGTCTTCCTCCAAACTTGATGCTACATGCCTCTTCATAGAGTCCAGCTTCTCAAATAATTAGCTCAGCATATAGATTGAATAGGTGTGGAGAGAGTATACAACCCTGACACACTCCCTTCTTAATTTTAAACCATGTAGTGTTTCCTTAACTCTATGTATGAACAGTGCTCAGGCTGTTCGTTCATAGGGTTGCTATGAGTCATCTACAACTTGACGGCACCAAACAACAATAACAATGATGATGACAAAGAGAGAGCTACGTTGACCTGTGGAAAGGAAGTTATGCTACCAAGCCGAAGGTGAGTGATTTTCACCTGGGGCCCTCGGCTAGGTTCAAATTGTTTTCCTGTCAAACATTCTTCTAGGTGGTATAGCACTGGTCTGTGCGTTGCTATACAGAGGTGACTCATGCTTGCTATGACGCTGAAGACTGTGACAGTGATGTGCCAATCGTGGTAATGGGTACCCATGGTAGACAGTGTTGGCTGGAGCTTCCCGACTAAATCAAGCCTGGAAGCAGGAGTGGCATCCACTTCCGAAACAGCTTGCCTCTGGAAACTCTATGTACGAACAGTGCTCAGGCCGTTCGTTCATAGGGTCGCTATGAGTCGTCTACGACTCGAGGGCACCAAACAACAACAACAACAACAGTGTTTCCTTGCTCTTTTCACACAATAGCCTCCTAGTCTAGGTCACAGAAGCACAATTACGTGCTCTGAAATTCCCATTCTTCCCATGGTCTGCCAAAAGAACAAACAAATATGTCTTGGAGAAGGTGCAAGCCAGAGTGCTCCTTAGAGGCGAAGATGATAAAGCTTCACCTCACATACTTTGAGCATGTTGTTAGGAAGGGCTAGTCTTTGGAGAAGAACACAAATGCTCAGAAAGGCAGGGGGGGTGGGGCAAAGGAGAGGAAGATGCTCAACCAGGTGGACTGACACGGTGACTGCTGCAATGGGTTCTTGTGTGTCAGAAAGTATAAGGATGGGATAGGATAGGACAGGGTTCAGTTCTGTTGTTCTTAGTCTGCTGTCCATCTGTTGTTATGTGTTGTACTTGACTTGATGGCACCTAACAACAACAACAACAATACTGAATTTTAAGTTCAAGAAGAAATTGAATCTTTAGCAAAGTGAATTCAAATAATACTTAATTAAAATTTAATATTTAAAATTCAGCATTTGTAATAAGAAAAACCAGGATGTTGAGTGTTATCCCTACCTATTTAATAGCAAAATATGTTGTTATTGTGGTTGTGGTTGTTACTTTCATCAAGTCAGCTCTGAATTATGGTGACGTATTCCTTGGACAGGGACATTATGCTTGGCAAGGTGGAAGGTTGGTCAAAGAGAGGAAGCCCCTCAGCCAGGTGGATTGACACAGTGTTTGCAGCAATGGGCTCAAGTCTGTCAGAGATTGTGAGGAGGGGACAGGATAGGGCAGAGTTCAGATCTGTTGTTCACAGGGTCGCTATGAGTTATACTTGACTTGACGACACCTAATAACAACAACAAGAAACGTATAACAGAACAAAGAAAGCACTGCTTGGTTCTTGTGCATGTCTAATCCTTAACATGTCTGCACCTAGTGCGGTTGCTAGCTTGTCATGTCATTTTTTGAAAGATTTCCATTCTTATTGCTGCCCCTTTACTTTATCAAACATGAGGTCTTTTTCTAGTAATTTGGGGTTTTTGTTCTGTTTTGTTTTTTTTCTGATAGCATGTCCAAAGTAAGTAAGAAGACATGTGCCATCCTCCCTTCTGAGGAACATTTTGGTTGTAGGATTTACTGTTCTTCTGGCTGTCCCTGACATACTCATAACCCGTCAACAGTACCACAACTCAAACACATCAATTCCTTTTCTGTCTTCTTTTTCCATCACCCAGATCTCACATATACATCAGATGATGCAAAAGACTGTGACTTGGGCCAAGAGCATCTTAAATATGTTGCTATGAACACTGGTGTATAAGTCTCCATTTGTGCCTCAGTTCTCATTTTCTCAGGGTATATTCCAAGCAGTGGAATAGCCGGGCCATATGGAATTTCTGTGTTCATAAATCTATCCATCTTTATAGATGTGACAGCCTCATCTTTCTTTCATGGAGCAGCTGGTAAGTTCAAAGACTTCTTGGCTCACAGACAAAATCTTTAACTGCTGCTTCACCAGGGCACCTCTTCTGCCCACAGAGATGAAACCTATTATTGAATAAGCCCAAAGTGGGCCCAATACGGCAATTTGGAGCAGGGTCAGTGCTAAGGAGAAGTACATGGAGCACCTGACCCACAAAATTTGAGTAGACTCTAGCCTTGGAGCTGTAGAAGTGCTTACCCTGAGGTTCTTACAATAGGTTTGCAATTTCAAAGCAATCGTGTCATTTGTTAAAAACTGGAAGTGATGAGAAAAGCACCATGACAGCCAGTAAATCTGTTTGGAAAAACAGCTAGAAGAAATGGCAGGGGGTGCGGAGGGCTCATTTGAAGTAAGACTCTGGGTCAACCATACACTTACAAGACAAAATAAAAAACAGGAGGAAAACTCTGAAGTATCCCCTATCTATCCAGGTACACTAAGTGCATGAAAAATATAATAGTAAAAACTAACATTTGTAAACACCTACTGTGTGCCAGGTGTTTTATACACTCAATCTTCAAAACAACTCTGAAATTGGTGGTGGTAGTATTACTATCATTTCCACTTAAGAGAGAGAAAAACTACAACAAAAATGTTTGGTAAAATGTCAGAGCAGGAAAATGAAAACCATGACCTGTGTCATTCTCTCTGGTCCTTAAAAATAATTCGATAGTCCCACATATACACATATACATCATGTCTAAGAAAAATAAAGGGACTACAGAATCAAAATATGGTAGATATCTCAAGTTTCTAAGTAACCATTCACACATACCTTCTGTGCACTTGAATACACATATTCTTGTTAGGAGACTACTATCTCACACATCTTCACAGCCAGATGATATTATTAAGAGGCCCAGAGGCCAGACTGTGACCTTCCTAGTAAGATGAAGAAACCAGACTTGAGAGAAGAAAAGTCAGAGAAATGGCCTTAGTCAGGCTCTCTTAAATCAGTTAATCTATAGTTCCTGCCACTAAACACTCACAAAGGCCCTTAGAGGGGCAAGTAGTCACTGACCTCCACATGCCGGTGAAGCTGAACATGGTGCTCACACAGCGCGGCAGAGGAGGCGGTTTGAGTCCATCCAAGTGCATGAGCAGAGCGGGGATGCCAAAGAGCACCAAGTACTTCACGTAGAAAAAGAGCACTTGAGCCAAGGCCAGTCCTCCTGTAAGACAAAGGGGCTTGTCAGGCACAGGGACAAGAGGAGCAACATTCCAGCACCCGTACCACCTGCTCCTACTTCCTCCCCTTCTCTCCTTCCTCCTCTCACCTCAGACATAAAAAGACACCTCACACTGGTTGTGAGCAATGAAATGTTTGAATTAACAAAAACTGCAATCTCCTTTACTAATGTTGACAGGCCACAGACCTCATAGCAACGATTCTTTTAATTATATAAAGAATGAGCATGCTTAAAAATGTACATGCATATATTTTAATGTATTAAGGACATCTGTATAAAATGCATTTAAGGAAACACTAGTAGAAGTGAAAATCTTTCCCAAATTCTTTCAAAATCCTATGTGAGGCCCCTGTGCAGTGTGAGGGAGCAGCATCGAGATGAAGTCACCTTTCTTCCCAAGGTCAGTGGCCCTCTGAGCCCCACCTCTGTCCTGTTAGGGCTCATGGCACTGCAGAAGGCAATGCAGGGTCCAGGCTCTAGGTCGACAGGGCTCTGTGAATCAGGATAGCTGCTGGCTGCATCTGCAGCAGACCTGGTAGCAGCCAATGGGTAAGGCAGGGCAGCCAGACAAAGCTCACAATGAAAAGACCACAACAAAAGGCAAAAATAAGTTGTACCCACCAACTTTCACATAATGCTAGTTTCACATAATGACCTAGTCTCTGGAATCTCACCACGTCTGTAAATGAGGAGCAAGTATATAATTGTGTTTGTGTGTGTGTGTGTAAATACAACATAGCTAAACAGATAAGATATATATGCTGGCAATATCATCTTACTAAATAGAAGTAGGAAGAGTATATGACCGTATGGTGAGAAAATTTATTACTCTGGTTGAGATGGCAATGAAGAAGAAAGTCCAAAATAATAAAAAATGAGCCACTAAGCTATAGTCAAAATATTCCTAGAGTTAGAGAACCTAAAAACCAAAGTAAAGATAACTGATTTTTAAAACACAATGCTTCCAGAGGAGTTGAAGACCACAAAGTCTACAGAAGACTGTGCACTGCCTATGCTGTCTCAGTTCTCTGTCTATGAAGCATCAGAGACTTCTATTCCCTGTTAATAAGATACAAGATAATGAAGAATGAGTTACTTCAAATCTTAAGTAAGTTCTTTATCTACGGTTATGTGGGAGCTCTGGTGACCTAGTGGCAGGAAGCTGCATTGCAATCTCAAAGCCATGTAGTTCAAAGCCACCTGATGCTCTGCAAGAGAAGGACTGGCAATCTGCTCCTGTGCAATTAACTGCCACTGAAAACCCACTGGAGGGTCAAACATGGCTTGGTAACTCTAGGTACACAACAACATGCTTGTACAAGGTAGCCCTGGTGGCATACTTGCTAACCCAAAGGTGTCACTTTTAGTGGTTTGAATCCACCAGAAACTCCACAGGAGAAAGATGGGCAATCTCTCCCCGTGTGATTGATGCTGTCCCAAAAACCTAATGGAGGGTCAACTATGAGTCAGTTTCAACTCAACGGTAATGAGTTTGAGAGTTGTTGATATTTGTACAGTGGTCATATCCAAGTCATGTGAATTACAACATTTTTATGAGTCACCATTTTTTACTTCATCTTCACTATCTGTTAGTACTTTCATCTACAATTTGGCCAAAGGAAAGACTGATTAATTTAGTCAATGCTTAATTTAATTTTAAGGCTAATCGGAATTGAAAATAAGATAATTGGGAATTTTTGTCTACTGCAAAGATAAAAAAATAAAATAAATCAGACATTTATTTATTTATATGCAACAAATGCTCTGTTCACCTGCCTCTCCATATTTCTCATAGATTAAGATAAAAAAAAATTGATGATTTGAACTTTAAATGTTAAAAGCTGGTTCAAAAATTGGCAGAAAATAATAACACAAGATAGTATGCAAAACATTATAATCACAATTATAATATAATTTCAATTCTTGCTCTCTCTTTTTTAAAAGAAAAATATACCTGCAGGTTTAACTATATTACTGTGTTATTTTCTTTGTTCTTGTAAAACATGCCTGGCTTATCTTTTCTTTTTACTTAAAGATTAGCCTGAATCTTATAAGATTTAGTCAAAGGTTTCAGGCTTAGCCCAAAGGATTTTGTTATATTTTCTAATTAGGCATACAATATGCTTTGGAGCAATATAAGAATAGAAATAATTTTGCTGGAGTTGAAAACTTTTTTTACAGATATAAATCGGACTACATTTTGTTATGATCAAATGTATAAGAAATGATCATTTTATTAACTTTATTGACATTTTATTGATCTTATATATAAAATGTTTTCTCAATAAACACGAGTTGCACTTTATTAAAGGCAGCATTTGTAAATACTATTACAAACATCATCCTGCAATAATTAAAGTTTGATAGAATTTCTACCTTATATATTTACATGTACTGTGAATACTATATGAATACAGTTGGTCATGTTGTTATGTGTCATCGAGTTGTCTGTGACTCATAGTGATCCTATGTACAACATCCCCGAAGCCTGCCCCATCCTGAGCCAGTCTCATTGACTATAACATACCAACCCCATTGCCCCAATTGATGAATCAGGCATCTCATCGGTGTCTTCCTATCCTGTGCTGTCCCTCCACCCTTCTGAGCACGATGTCCTTCTCCAAATATCAGTCCTTCCTGTCCATATGCCCAAAGTATAAGAGACAGAGCTTCAAAATCCTAGCCTCCAAGGGGAAATGTGGAGTTGATTGTTGGTCACTCTTATTGTTATGTGTCGTCGAGTTGCTTGTGACTCAAAGTGAACCTAAGTATGAAAGCCCTGAACCCTGCTCTATCTTGAGCCAACCTTATTGACTCTGACACACCTACCCTCATACCCCAGTCACTGAATCAGTCCATCTCATTGAGGGTCCTCCTCTCTTGTGCTGTCCCTCCGCCCCTCCAAGCATGATGTCCCTCTCCAAGGACTAGTTCATCCTTGCAACATGCCCAAAGTATGTCAGTCAAAGCTTCAGAATCCTTGACTCCAAGGAGCAGCTGGTCTCACCCTCTCCAGGAAGAACCTCTTTGTTATCCTAGAAGTCCATTCAACACTCTCCTCCAGCACCACAGCCCAAAGGCATCAATTCTCTTTCTATCATTCCTATTCGCTGTCCAGCTTCTTGACGCATAGCAAGTATTCCCAAAGACTAGGGTCATACAAGAGGTAATTATGAAAATTTCTTACCTATTATCAAAGACTTTGTGGGAATGAGCTTGGGGGCTTAGGAATATAGTTCTTAGGGACACAGTCTATAAAGACACATACAGTTTATTAGAAGAAATAGAAAAGAATGTAAACTAGGAGTAGGATTCAATGTTCACCAGTAGCAGGCAATTACCAGAACATAGAAGCTTAAACACTTTTCATTCAACAGTTAAAAATATTCATTTCATATTATGATGTGCGTAATTCTCTTGTGGGAGCTTCATACACATTAAGGGATACATCTCTTTTAAGGCAGTTTGCATTCTAGTAGAGGAGTTCAATAGTTTAGTAAAAAAATACAAATACTATGCCACATCTTTCTTCTGTAGAGTTCAAACTACTAACTTTTTGGTTAGCAATAGAGCTCTTAACTATTAAAGCACTTGTTCTTGTTGTTGTACGCTGCCCAGTTGGAAAAGGCCCATAGAGGATCCACCAGCAGTTTTTAAAAGCAGTAAATCATACGAGAGATTGCCAATCCTTCTCCTGTGGAGAAGCAGGTGGATTCAAATGACATGCCTTTGGGATTGCAGAGCAGCTGCTTACTTGCATACTACAAGGCCACTAAAGTCCTTTTAGAGAAGTCCTACACCACTAGGGTTTTTCTAAAAAGAATAACGTCTCCATTAATGCTACATTAGGAGAGCTCTGGTGGCCTACTGGTGAGATGCTGCACTGCAATTCAAGGGCACAGGGTTAGACCCCCAGCTGCTCTGTGGGAGAAGGATGGGCAATCTCCTTCTGTGCAATTAACTGCCTCTGAAAACCCACTGGAGGGTCAGCTTTCGGTCAGTTCTGACTTAACAGAACACAGTAATAGAACAATACTACATAAGGATGTATGTTGGTGCTGTTAGTTGCAAGAAAGAGGATTAATAACTCACAGCAACCCCACATACACAGTAAAACTGCTCCATTGAGCTTTAAAGGCTGTGCTCTTTCAGCAAATTCTCAGGCCTATTTGCTGAATGACATTTCAGTGAGCTCAAAATGCCCACCAAAAAATCCTTTTATTGCTCAAGCTCTTATTCACAATTGCAACCAAGAAATCTAGTCAGAAAGAATATATAGCAGAATATATTTTCAAAGTATGGCTGTAATAAAATCTTCCAACCCATATGCCTTCTATAATATGGCCTTGCCCCTCTCTCTACGGAAGAAAATGTAGGTGGGCACGGGGACCACTTTGACCAAAAAACAGAGCAAAGGATCCTGCACTTATCCTGAGTCTTTAAATTCCTACCAGTTGACGATTCACTGTGGTATCGCTTCCTCTTGGAATGCAGTTGCTATATGGTAATAGAAGCCTGAGCCACATGGAGGAATTGCATTAAGGTAACCTCATGGACAAGCCAAATTGAGCTCACAGCAACAACCATCAAAACACCAGCTACGTGGGGAGCCACCCTGGAAACCCTGTCAAGTCTTTGATGATTCCCGTCGTCCTTGTCAATGTTAGTCTGCAACCACTGGCAAAAACCTCCCACCCAAGTCCAATCAAGCAACAGTGAGGGAAAAGAAATTGTTGTGTTATGCTAGTAAATTCTGGGGTGATATATTACTCAGCAATAGCCCACTGAAAGAAAGAGCATTAAAAGTGTAATGGAAATAGAAAACTGTAGAGCCAGTACCTGAAAACCAAAACCTAAACCCAGTGTCTTTGAGTTGGTTCCAACCCATAGGGACCCGATAATACAAATGAACAAAGAATCGGATCCTCGCCCTATCCTGTGCCTAATCCATCTTGTTGAGCGTCTTCTTCTCTTTCACTGAT